ATAAGGGAAAATAAAGACTGGTGGGCCCCAGTTTTAGCCATCCTATTCACTCATATTAATAACATAGGACATTTTCCACCTGACTGGAATCAGGCCATTGTAGTACCGATATACAAAAATAAAGGAAGTAGACTTGACCCTGTAAACTATAGGCCTATTAGTTTATTAAATACAATAAATAAACTTTATGCCAGATTTTTATATACAAAGTTGGTGGATTGGGTACAAAATGAAAATATTATTGTTGAAGAACAGGCCGGAGTTCAACACTAGATCATTGTCTAATTCTGCATCATTTGGCTGAAAAATATTCTACCCCCTCCCGTGGTTTTCTTTATGCAACATTTGTTGATTTTAAGTCAGCTTTTGATCTAATACCAAGGGAGAGATTGTGGTATAGTCTAAGATATTCCACGATTGATAAAAGGCTGTTGGGTCTTATTCAGTCACTCTATTCAAATACCTCCCTAAAAATTAGATGTACCCCCTGGGGACATTTATCTAAAGTAGTTCCGACTTATAGTGGTGTAAGGCAAGGTTGCATATTAGCTCCACTACTTTTTAATCTGTATCTAAATCCAATAATGCAAGTGCTTGCTGATCCAGCCCATCATCCACCTATCTTGGCTGATCGTGCAATTCCAGCACTATTGTATGCCGATGATATAGTCATTTTGTCCACTTCTCAGGTGGGAATGAGAAAAGCACTTAGGGCACTAGCTTTATTTTGCACAGAATACAAACTTTTAATAAATTATGAAAAAACTAAAGTTTTAGTATTTGCCTCTTACCATCATAAGATCCATTAATGGCAAATTGATGGGACTTCAATTGAACAGATGCGTACCTATAAATATCTTGGAGTGCAGTTTCATGCCTCCCTATCCTGGAATACTCATTTTCTTTATCGGGCAAGTGTAGCACAGCGCACCTCATCAGCTATCATAAAATTTTATCATTCAAAAGGAGCTTACTTTATCCCTGCAGCTTGTAAGGTTTTTCAAGCTAAGGCAGTCCCTCAGCTCCTTTATGGCTCGCAAATATGTTCTCTTGCAAAGCTTAATGCTATTGAAATTATTCAAAATAAGTTTATTAGAGCCATACTGATGGTACCTAAAAGTATCAAAAATGCCATCCTACAGGTAGAAATAAGTACAGTTTCATTGGAAGCTAGAGCATGGTTCTTTCTTCTTACCTTTTGGCTAAAGTTAATTTTGATGCCTGTAGGTTTAGCACCATTAGTATTTATAGACCATTTTAAATCGTCGTGGAAAAAAAAGCCCTAGATAAAATTAAATCGCTGGGCTTCTCTATGGAAAGTCTGTGTTCATTAGGATTTGATAATGCTAGAACTGCCTTGAAACAACGAATCTGGGACATTGATCTCCAAGCAAACCTAAGTAAGGTGGTACATTCCAACATTTGTCACTTACTTCCAGAAGGATTCTTTCCAGCTTCTTATCTATTTTCCATTACAATTTCGAAATTTCGTAAAGCTTTCACCTTAGCCAGGCTGGATGCATTGCCCTCGGCAGTTCTTTTTGGACGGTTTAAGGGCATTCCTATGCACCTTCGGTTGTGTCCATGTGGTGATGGCTTTATAGAAACCCTAAGCCATATGTTGCTTCATTGCTCTTTATATAAAGACTCTAGACAGATTCTTATATATCCAATATTGAAGAAATTTCCAGGCAGGGGATATGAATTTTATCTAAAGTTGCTACTTTCGGATAAGGATCCGAAAATATCAATTCAGGTTGCCCAATTTTGTGCCACCATTTGCACAATACGTCGCACCATTATTAAGGTCTGAAAAAAAAATTAATACGATGTTTTATTTTGAGAATTTTGGATTATATTATATTGATTGTTTGGTGATTTTATATCCTGTAAATATGGAAGTAAAATTGCTACTGTTGTTATACATTTTGATTATGTCTGGCCTTACGGCTGTAATAAACAGATTGATTGATTGACCCAGGAAACTACAGACCAATGAGCCTAACATCAGCCTACTATCTGAAAAAAGTAATCAAATAATCAAAAAACAGATGTGAACATCTAGAAACAAATAAAGTTATAACTAGTAGCCAGCACGGGTTTGTTAAAAACAGACCATGCCAAACCAATCTTATTTCATTCTTTGATAAAGTGACTAAGTTAGTAGATCAGTGAAATGCTGTAGACATAGTATATTTAGACTTCAGCAAGGCATTTGACAAAGTAGACCACAACCCACTTCTTGGTAAACCAGAAAAATGTGGGATTTGTTACTGGCTGACAAACCGGACTCAATGAGTAATTCTTAATATACATGGAATGATGGAAACAGTGGGGTACCACCACAAGCTTCCGTCTTTGGCCCAGTACTCTTCAATATCTTCATAAGTGACTTAGATGAGGGAATAGAAGGGGAATTCATCAAATTTGCAGATGACACTAAGCTGGCAGGAATATCCAACATCCCAGAAGACAAGCTCGGGATCCAAAAAGTACTTGACAGACTTGAACAATGGGTCCTATCTAACAAAATGCAATTTAATGTAGAGAAAACCAAAGGTACAAATACAGATTAGGCGAAACCTGGCTCAAAAACAGTAATTGTGAGAGGGACCTTGGAGTCTTAGTGGACAATCACTTAAACATGAGCCAGCAGGGTGTGGCAGCAGCCAAAAAAAGCTAAAACAATCCTTAGTTGTATAAACAGAGGCATAGAATCAAGATCACACTAAGTATTAGTACTGCTTTATAAATCCTTAGTAAAACTACACCTGGAATACTGTATCCAGTTTTGGTCACCACAGTACAAAAAAGTTGTTGAGACTTTGGGAAAAGTACAAAGAAGAGCAATTAAGATGATTAAGAGCCTGAAGACAAAAACATACAAAGAACAGTTGCAGGAATTGGGTATGGCCAGTCTAGAGAAAAGAAGGACTAGTGGTGACATAATATCAGTATTCCAGTATTTGAGGGACAAAGAAGAGGGGGTCAACTTATTTTCCAAAGCAGCAGAAGGCAAGAAAAGAAACAACAGATGAAAACTAATCAAGGAGAGAAGCAACCTGGAATGAAGGAGAAGATTCCTAACAGTGAGAACAATTAACCAGTGGAATAGCTTCCCTCAGAAGTTGTGGGTGCTCATCACTGGAGGTTTTTAAAAAAAGATTGGACAGCCATCTGTCTGAAATGGTATAGGGTCTCCTGCTTGAGCAGGACTAGAAGACTTACAAGGTTCCTTTCAGCTCTATTATGATTAATTATTAACTGTCATGAATTTATAATGCCATTTCAGCCAATACAGAGTGGCCCTTGATTTCATGGAAGTGCACCAAAGTATCTTAGTGAGGCTGGGTCATTTTGGTTCTTCTGAGGTCAATCAACTTCGAATTTCCATTTCAGTTTCTGAATATTTGCTGAGGCCAATTGTGGCACTTATAACATAGCCACACATTTAGTTAGCTCCCATAAAATACCTAAATATCAGTTTTGGGGATTTTCAATTGACAGTATTATAAGCTTGCTGGCACCATCAGGGGGGTCTTTAAGAGGCTCCTTTGCAGAGCATTTACCTAGGTCCTTTGACTCTTTTTCTCCACATATCTTTTTTTACTCCTGAAACTGTTATGACCTTGGTTTTTTTATTTTTATTTTATTTTTATTTTTTTAATGGCTTTTCTAACATTCTCCTTCCTAGATCACTGTTTAATTCTTCTGCTGTGTGTGCCTAAGGTATGGGAGCTTTTCAGACAGTGATAGTTAAGTTGGAAACCAGTTCACAAATACTTTTCTAGGAGTAGGTGGTGCTCTTCTCCAAATAAATATGTTTCCCTTAGATTGAAAAGAAGGGAAAATCATAATATTGCTCCCCAAACTGATTTATATTTAGACTTCTTATTTGTGGGATTCTCAGTACTCTTTCAGCTTGGTGATTTTCTTGTAGACCAGACATGTCAAACACAAGGCCACATGGTTTCATGTGGCCCACAAAGCCATCCTGGAAACAATGAGGGAACAGCCCCCTCTGCCTTGGCCCTGGCCCAGGCCAGCCAGGAGCCAATGTACAATTTTGTGGTGGCCATCTATGCTGAAATGCATTCAGTCTTAGCTCCAGAAGGCCATCTGGAAACAGCGAGGAAACAGCCCCTGCCGCATTAGCCCAGCCCCCTGGGTGCATGCTGGGGAGGTGTCACCCTTTGTGAGGAATGAAGAAATGCACCATGCCTTGGTGCTTGCCCCGGTCCCACCCCCTTCTGCCAGAGACCCTCAGATCTGTCCCACTCCTGCCCAGGCCCCCACAGGCACTCTTGACGCGAACGATGTAGAGCTGGCCACGCCCACCCAGTAGGCCACACCCATTCCATCCATGCCCACCCAGTAGGTCACGCCCACCCTGGCCACACCAACCTGGCCTTCCAAGGGCAACCGCAATGCTGATGCGGCCCTCAATGAAATTGAGTTTGACATCCCTGTTGTAGACGTTTCATTACCATATTAGATAACATCAGCGCAATCTTTTATCGAGACTTCTTATTTAGAAGTTGAATGTCCATTAGAATTCTTGCATCCAGCATAACCTACATCTAATACATTTTGCTGAGTTGTGAGCTGAGAGAAATATGCTTAGAATTAACTGTTTGCAGTCTGGATAACTACTGTACAAGTTTCTGACATTAATTAATTGACATTTATTCCGACTAGAGAAGAAACTTGCTTTGAGTCCTTGAAGCTTTAGTCCCTTGAAACATGATTAAGAACTGAAGATGTTGGCAATATTGTATTCTACTACAGGAATCAAATGGATCTTAACCCCAGGCTGAGAATTCATAAAGAAATTCATCCAGACCTAGAAATATAAAAATTGTGGCTTTTAATTTTTTGGTATGTGTGAGTGGGGGGAGGGAGGGAGATTTTCTCAAAAGGACAGATAAGATTCAGGCCATCACTAAAAGTAAATAGAGGAATCATGCAATCCTACAGTTTTAATCCTTCCTTTTTTGCAGGTTTTGTTGCTTTTGCAATCCAGCCCTGCCTCACTGATAGAGTGAAGCTCTTTATAAGCCTTACACCTGCTTACTCTTTGGAAGGTATAACTGGGACACTTGGAAGGTATAACTGGAAGGTATAACTGGTGCACTTGGAAGAATTCCAGACCGACTCAGAGAAGTAGGTATTTAATTATTCTATCTGTATGCTCTAAATCTAGTTATAGGAGGCTAATGCACCTCAACCTGCACACCTTGTATATAATGCTTATTGAGTACATTTGCTGCCAAAGTTTTAAAGATTAAAATTGAAAGATCACAAAAACAAGAATTTTAGTAGTAAGGGCTACCCTTGAATTTGGAAGCTGCAGCAGATTCAGAATGCAGTAGCGCAAAATTCTGGAGATCCCTAAGGTGGCGCATGTAACATCACTATTTCGCAAACTGCATTGGTTGCTGGTTTGCAAGTCTAATTCAAGTTATTAGTTATCACCTTTAACCAGTAGTGGGATTCAAATCCCCAAACAGGTTCTCTGCATGGATGCAGGCCTGGGCGTCTGAGGCCTAGAACGGACTTCCAGAAGTGGCATCCCCCCACTTCTGTCGGGCCATTCTAGGCCTGGGAGGCCTCTGAGGCCTAGAACGGACTTCCGGAAGCAGTGTGCATTCAGCCGGCTCTCCAAACTCAACAAAATTTAGCTACTGGTTCTACCGAACCGATGCGAACCAGTTGAATCCTATCACTGCCTTTAATACCCTTCATGGTGTGGAGTCAGAAACTGTCTCATCATCTCAGGTTGCCAGCATGATCATATTCCTTTTAATGTGTACAAGACAGGTAGCAGGCATTCTAGCATTTCAAAGGTCAGGGAATTTGTTAGGAGACAAAGGCAAAGGAGTGAAACTGAGTAGTGTTGTCTGTTTCCAACTGGAAAAGCATAATCACAGCGACACAATTTTCCACTTAGTGACTATTTCACCTAACAGTGGAGTTGCCTATCCCAACTAGGGTCTTTAAGTGAGAACTACCTGCACATTACTTTGAGTGGCAGAATTAAAAACAACAAAAATAACATTTTTTTCTTCCTGTTTAGAAGTAGTTTTTCCCAGTTGTGTTGCAATGAAGGGCAGAATTGTTCTGATTGAAATCTATTAAATCTGCAAATGTAACAGTGTGAATTTGTAGAGATGTATGAAAATCTAGAGAAGGACTTCCAATGATAAATTTAATATGGGGAAGGCAAAATTCATGTTGGAAAAGGAAGAAGGTGCTTGGAATTAGAATATTGATGGGTCATTTTTATTTTGCAGCTTATGTGGGGCTCTAAAGAATTTTCCATTTTTAGTGAAAGAGTAAAAAGAAGCATGATCCATGCATGCAGCTATCCAGGGATTGACCGACTATGCCTACAAAACATTTTCCTTGCAGGGGGATATAATAAGAAAAATCTAAATGTAGTAAGTAAGATCCATTTTTATTTATACTTTCTACATAGAACAGGGGTGTCAAACTGCTGGCCCACGGGCCAGTTATATCATGTGGAGGCCACGCCTACCCCAGCTCTGGCAATGCAAAAAAAGTTGTGATATGTTGCAACATGTCACATGACAAGGCGAGTTTAATCACAGTCCACTGGAAGATTAGAATTATACTTTAACAGCAGTGTTTCTCAACCTTGATAGCTTTAAGATATGTGGACTTGAACTTCCAGAATACAAAATTGAAAAAGATTGCTTTAGCAGAATCCTAGCCTGAGCCTCTCCTGCCCCTCATCCCATCAAGTTTAACTCTTAATTGGGGCCCCTCTCTGGGAAAGCCTTGTATTGCCAAAAGTCCCCCTCTGATCCTCAATGGGCACATGGTGTTACACTAAGCAAAGATGGAGGAAAAACCAATTCTTAAAAACACATGCCCTGTGTTTGTATTTACAATAGCAAAACTATATAAATGTCTAGATGGGGTATTTATTGCGAAATGTTGACATTATAGACCAAAACGTATGGTGTTGATTGAAGGGAGCAATGAAATAATTGACAACAAAGGATGAGTTGCCTCCTTCAACTATAGTAAATATATTTTATTGGGTTCAGTGTTTGAAATTTGCCAGATTATTTACATGTAGAAATGGAAGAGTGAATTGGATATTCTCTAAGGATATAGGAAACTTAATGGGTTTCAGAGATTGGATTTAGTGAAGAGTTATTCAAACCAACCAGTCAAGACCAAGGATCTGGTTTGGATCACTGCATCAAAGGACCTGGGTGTACTCATCTCTAATGATTTATGTTCTTAAATTCATTGTATCAGCATTGTTTAAAAAAAGCACTACAAGTTGTATATTTAATTCTACGAAATTTTTCTTTCTGGAAATATTGTATTGCTCATTACAGCTTACAAAATGTACATTAGGCCAATCCTAGAATACTGTTTAACTGTCTGGAATCCTTAATGATCCTAATCAGACATTAATATACTCGAGCGTTGACACTTGTAGCAAGACTTAGGTATTGCATACAAAATTGTACATAGCAACGGTTCACCTGTAACTGACTTTTTTTAGCTTTAATCTTAATCTAATGCATGTGAAACAACCACTTTAAACTTAATGTAAAGCGTTCTAAACTCGATTGTAAAATGTTCATTTTTTGTAATAGAATTGTCAAAGGCTGGAATATCTTACCTGATTCAGTTGTCTCAGTCATTAACTTTCACAGTTTTAATTCTAATTTAACTTCTGTGGATCTCACTCCATATTTAGGAGGTTCCTAAGGGGGAGTAGGTATGTGCACTGGTGTGCCAGTTGTCCCTATCACATTTTGATTTTCTTATTTTGTTTGTTCAAATTTGTAATTTCTGTTTGATGAATAAAATAAAAAAATAAATAAATTGGCCCCAAACGGATTCAGAAATTCTATAACTTTTCTGCTACCAGCCATTGCAACTTCCATTCTATATACTGAGAATATTGAGAAAGTTGAATGATGTAATTGGTTCTCTCCAGCCAATCAGAGTGAGGCAAAGTTAGTGAATTGGCCCTAAGTTCAGCATCATAAATTCAGAGAAAAAATATTATAAATATTTGGGGAGGCATTTTCAAAGGCATATAACAGGAAATCACTTACTCACATATTGGTCCAATAGTGTTTTTCTATTGTCTGTTGTTGTATGCAATTTATTTTTGAAAATTGAAGTATGGGAAAGTGGGGGAAACAGTTTCTACTTCATTTCTTTGTATTTTATAACAATGTAACAATAAATAATACTTTCATATATTTCCTCAAAGAAAAAATGTAAATTCCTTTTGTTTTTTCAGAGTCGAGCAGATGTATTTGCAGGGATTTTTCCTGATTTTACATCAGTAAAAAACATGAATCACTGGAGTCAGGTAGAGTATGATTTAAATTTGTTTGTTATTTTCAAGGCAAATCAAAATTGACAAGTTTTGGACTTCCAATTTGCCGATGCGGCCGCCATGGACATCTGGAAGGCGAGCTCTGTCTTCCACGTCCAGTTTTGCGTAGCTAGGGGACCCTGGAAAGGGTCAAAAGTCACCCTGTATGGGTGACCAGCAAGGAGGGGATCCCCACTTGATCACGGAAGGGCAGTAGCCCTCCAAACTTCCGTTTGATCCAGGGCAGCCCTCCAAACTGGCAGACGAAAGATTGGCCATAGAAATATGGCTCATCACTAGGCTGCAGACAGCGGAAATCACACTTACCATCAGGCAACTTTAAAGCAGCACAGAAGAGACTGGGTGAGATCTACCTCTCTTAAATCCTAACTATCTTTTTTACCTGCATAAGCTGCTTAAGTACTTTCCCCCCTGTGGAGAGGGAAGGGAGATTTTACCCCTCCCTCTAAAAACAGCAGTGACTGACTATTCAGGGGAGTTTAAAAACATTGCAAGAATAACTTTTTTTTTTATATGAAATTTTATTTATTTTTTCCATCATAAAAAACAATCATAAGTAAACACAATAACCAATCAATAACCCCCCCCC